GGTTGCTCTTAAGGAACTTAGATTAAGTGACAGTACTATAACTCAATTTTTTTTGAGCACAAAAACCCTAAACCCTGACCCCAAGACCCTAAACCATGTACCCCTATTATAGCAACTGAAATTGAAGCTCCTTAGCAGCAATCCTGAAATCTCAATGATGAGGCCCTTGCAAGCGCTTTGCATCTGCTAGATGAGGATTACGCGGTTTAGGGTTTATGGGTCCAGGGTAGGGTTTAGAGTTTAGGGTTTAGGGCAAAAAGGGTTCAGGGTTAAGGGTTTAAAAGGGTCCGGGACTCTTGGGCTGAGGTTCAACAGAATCCCGGAATGATCTATACATGTGATATATTCCCGAACCATCGAAAACCTACGTGGGGTTGGCAAATAGTAGTAATGCGAGTAAGAACAGTAGGAATGCTGTAGTGGTAACAATAGTAATACATACTCGTAGTAATAGTAGCAATACTTGTAATAAGATTGAATAATGGTAAGTAGTAGTATTAGTAGTGTGACAGTGAAAAATACAGTAGCAGTAATCTTAGTAATGAGCGTGAGTGCTCGTAATACCAGTAGCCCTAAACCCTAAACCCTAACTAGCCTAGGACAAGGGCATGGTCACCAAGCACGGCATGGTGAAGATCACCGGCCGCTATAAGGAAATCATCATCGGTGCCGGAGGCGGGGGAGTGTTCAGCATTATTGAGCTGTACTGGTAGTCTAAACGGCTTAAAACGGAGTATATAGGGGACTATAATAGGAGCTATTGAGGGGGGTGCTAGGAGTTTAGACTATAGCTCAGCACCATTCTTACTGGTTGTTAGTAGGGACTATGGGAATATACTCAAGAGCATTTCTACCGGGATGATTCCTTTCTTCCCAACTAAGAACCAGTAAGTGTTGAAGTTGAGCAGAGGGAAGGGCTTAGACAGCAACGCCCTTTTTGGGGGGAAGCTAGCTATTTGAAGATCATAGCCAAGGAGTAGGCACCTGGTTCATGGATGTAGCCAGTAGCTGGAGATAAAAGCTACAGCCTAAACTCCTAGTATCCCCCTTAATAACTCCTATAGTATCCCCTATATAACCCCCTTTACGGAGTTTAGAGTATAGCTCATATAAGAGTACTTCAACTTGGGTTTAGCCCAGGAATCTGCAAGCAGGGTCGAAGGTTCTCAGTGGAGCCGAGGTGAGAATATTGCCCCCGTCCCCATCGAGGACCATATCAAGGGCCACTGTGATGGCCGCACGGCTTCTTCCAGTTGGTTCTGGGCTAATAGAGATGAGAATAATGATACCAGTAAAAGTAGGAATAATGATAGTAGTAATGATAGGAATAGTGGTAATAACTAACAGTAATAGTAGTATTTGCACACAAAGGGGTCCCCAAAAATGTCCCGTTACTATGGGGAAGCTTGAAGATTTGGACTCCGTCTCATTTGTTTTGGGTGCCCACCAAATAGAGCATTCTGAAATCACAGGTTCCTGTCTTGGGCACCCATCGTTTGGACTTCGATTCTGGTTTATGTAAAGACGAATTTGCATTTGATACACTCACATTTGGGATCCCTAAACCCTAAAACCTAAAACAATGCTTGAGCAAATCAAAAGAGATGCAAACCTGGTGGCCCGCGGTGACTTGCACGGCGTGTTTCAGGGATGGTTGTTGGGTGCGCCAGGGGATTGTGATAGAGATATCCATAGTTCATCCCCTACGGATTAGAACCAGACCAACTGAACAAACCCAAGCCCTGAACTCTGCAACTCCCAAATCCCAAAACAGCAGCCCAAACCCTAGGCCCTATAGGCTCGTGTATACATGCGATATATTCGGTGCACATACACCGTTCCCCCTTTGAGTTGCGATGTGAGTCCCCCAAACCCCAAATCCTCCCCGAGGTATCAACGAGGTGATGATAATCGGCGACAAGCGCAAGTACAATGTGGCCATTGTCACCCTCAAAGCCGTTGGGGCCCAGGTCCCTCTTCAAGCTTCAGGGTCCAGGGTCTGATGCCTGTTTGCTCACAACCTTAAACTCTGAGGAAGCAATCGCTTTACCCCAAAGCCTGAACTCCAAGTTGGAGATCCGAAGATCAACCAGCCCAAACCCATCACCACAAACCCGAACTCTTCACCCTATAGAGCAATTCCTTGTAATATGTGTTGTTTTGGTTTCTTGGTCTGCATAGGAGTGCCTGGGATTTAGCGTCCGTTGACAGCCTCCACAGATTGCCTCATGCTTTTGATTCCATCTTGTTCCTACATTCTGTGAGGTGCCTGTTCTTGGATAATCCCTCCAGCTAATATTAAACCCCCCCCCCAATATTATGCACAAATATTCCCTTGTATGGTATATTGTAGTCGTATTGGCAGTATTTAGTTTAGGGTGGCTTTAGAGGGAGAGGATTACTTCGTTTCGGTTTTTGAAATGGGTCTGTTCAAGAGGAGCTTGTTTTCTGTTGCCCTCTGTTCAAGCGGGGGGTAAAAACATATCCATCAAATTGCTGGTGGCTAGTAGGGAACAAGGCCATTAATCCCTGTACTTATAATCCTCATGCAATAAGTATATCCCTTACTCCCTACTAACGAACTCCAAGGGAGATAGAGCAAGTTATGCTGAAAACCCCTTGGGTTTCAGGGTGAGACTCCCGGCACCGATCAGCTTGACGCGGGCGCCAAACGAGTGAACCCGAATGTCTCCAAGGCTCCACGAGGATAAAGGTTTTGAGTGTTTAGAGTTTAGGGGTTTAGGTGTTTTAGGGGCTTTACAAGGACGGCCAAAAAAGTGCAGACGCCTTGATGTTGGCGTATAGGAGTCAGGGAGGGCCAGGGCCCATCTGCTGAGGAACAGTTGGGGGGGAGTCAAACAAGGCTGGCTGGAATGTGTAAGGGTCAAGCATTTAGGGGCTGGAAATATCATGCCCTGTTTTCAATCAACCCTTCTATACACCCTAAAGCCTGAACCCTATACGCCTAGGCCGCAAAATTCAGAGCATATATCCTGGTCCCTGTGCCCTGCCAGATCAGCGAAGCTATGGGGGACTCTGTTTGGATCGAGGCAGTCACGGCAGCCATCAAGAGTGCCAACAACAACGGCACTGTTTGCCCCAACAACGCCTTCAAGATCCAAAAGTTTCTGGGCTTACTGGTGGGTAGTAGGGCATGAAGGAAAATCATGTAGCACCGACTAGTGAGGGGGGTAATTTTGTGAGTGCTATAGTGACCCATTCCACTGTGCCAAAGTTCCAGGACCATGATGGGAAATATTTTTCCCTGCTTTGATGAATGCCGGAACCCATACAGAATGGAATCCGTACTTGTGATTATGAAGGTTGGCAACCCGGAAGGCTGGTTCCTGAATGATGGGCAATTATGAGCTTGAATGGCCGAAGCCTGAGAAAGCAGAGGCTATATGACTTTCAACTTTGACCTCAGGCCCTGAACCTCAAGCCCTAGTCTGCTAAACCTCTATAGAGCCTAAACCCTACACCGACCCGAGCCTACACCAAGGTTTCAAGGAGTATTGTTTGTTCTGGAGAAGTGGCGCCACGTAATCTGCCTCCCAATGACCTGCCTGTTAATTGAAAACCCACATACCCTATGATGATACAGTAATTTCTACTTTCTGTTTCATTGTCCCTATATTGCTCCACTATACATCCCATGAAAATGGCACCCTAAACCCTGACCGTGCTATATGGTACTTGGGATGCTCTAATCCCACAGCAAGCCCCAAAACCCTAAGCCCCTGAACTGTAAACCCATGCAAGGTGCAAGACCCTGATCCTGTAAAGGACTCAGCCTGGGTTTCCGTTTCATTCTCCATGATCTCTTCCATTTGGTTCTCCATGACTGGGGGTAGTGTATAACCCCTAAACATTCCTAAACCCTAAACCCTGAACCCCAAACCCTAAACCTTAAAGACCCAGGTTCATGATCCTTCCGACCAACTTCTCTGAAGAGCAGGGCTTCCTAACGCCAACGAAGAAGCTGAAAAGGGCAGTGGTGGAGACACTGGGCTGAGAGGGTCTAGCTTGGGTACTGCCCCCACCCAGTAACAGTTTATATTAGGGGTCCTATTAAGGTCTATATATATAAACCATATTATAACTATGATCCAACTGTTATTGAGGGGGGGGCAGTACCCAAGGTCTGGGTATAAACCCCTATATAACCAGAGTTTCCATTTCATTTCCTACGTTCTTTTTCATTTGATTCTCCAGGATAATCATAAACCTGTAGGTAATTGGGGTTGCAGGGTCTGGACTGGATTCAGAATTCAGGGTATAGGTCTTGGGGGTTGGGATTTGAGATGTAAGGTCTAGGAATAAGGGTTTCGGTCCTGAGATTTATTTCTAAACTCCATGTCTACCGATGTCGTCAGCAGCTCTTTCCGCACCAAGGAGCGCTTTCAGCAAGCAGATCGAGATGATGTACAACTCGAGTGAGATGTACGTGCGGTACGCAGAATGAAGCACTTCTTGACCTGGCTGGCACGTCGCACATGTCGACCAGATGTCTGCCAGAAACCTACAGATCTTGGTAAACAAAGAAACTCCAAGATTTGGGTGTTTCTCGAAATTATGGGTATTCTTCTGTCTTCTTGCCATAGGGCTTAGGGGCGATCCAAATTTTGAGAAGCTCCCAGATACCATGCCCGCGCCAAAAGGTGCAGAGGCGTGCCCCTTGCTATCCGTGCTTTTCAAAGCATGAAAACATGCTGATACCCATCTTTTGCATCCACACCTCCTGCAAAGGGAGCAGTTTGAAAAATCAGTGCATCTGCATTCAGAAGCGTCACATGCCCAGGGCCCATTCGGGTATGTGCCAAACGACTTCTTAAGATCAAGACATCATGAGCAAGATATAGGTATTGTGAATAAGATTTTTCCATTCCCAACAAGACTGATGGAGACCTCAGTCTTGACACATCATAAAAAATACTATATCCCCAATATAACCCCCATATAACCCCAGTTTCCATTTCATTTTCCATTTTCTTTTCCATTTGATTCTCCATTATTGGGGTACCATAGTAACCCCATATTATACCCTAAACCCTAAACCCTGGCCCTATACCCCTTCTGAATCTGGTCTGGCTCAGGTCCGCCCAATACATGCATTCAGTGGACCAAGGATATCAGCAGGCCTTGTGCTACCTACAAGTAGGGATCCGTAAGCCTCAGAATATGGGGTAATATTAGGGTTATATTGGGGTTATATGGGGATAATGGAAAAGAAAATGGAAACTACTATTTAAGGTATAGGGTTTAGGGCTTAGCTTTATAAGCTACCCTATAATACCGGTTTCCATTTGATTTTCCATGCTCTTTTCCATGTGATTCTCCATTATTTGGCCCGTATAACCCCTGTGATTGCCATTATTCAGTATGCTGAAGTCCCCAGAAGTTTCCTCCCTGGCAGGAAGTATGACCTGCTGGGTGTTGTGCAGGCAGCCTGGTGTCGTTGCCTTGCCGGTTGCAATGCTTGTTGTGCGATATGGTCTCGCAGGCGAGCACACAGCCTGGCACGCAGGCGCCGCCAGCTCCTGCAGCAGAAGGAAGTGCGGATGACATACCCTACTATACTATAGTAGTTTCCATGTTCTTTTCCATTATTCCCTAAATAACTCCCAATAACATGCCCCGAAGTAAAGAAGTGCCCAGTCTTCGGGATGCTGGCGTCAGCTACATTGTGGGGGATTTGTATACAAGGGGCGGGATGGTTATTGTATGGGGGAGGTGCTTTGGTGCTGCAGAACCATGAGAACTTCTACAAGCTGTGCATACCCTCCCCCAACATGGAGCCCCAACACGGGGCCATCTGAAGACCAAATTTCTTTGAAAATCATACTTCTTTGGGCTTCCATGCACGCCTGGGTATCCGTCGAACACCCCAACTGCATGGATTCTTATGTGGAAGTTTATGAAGATGTCTCCTAGGATTCCATTCCATAATCTCTTTACAACCTCATATTCCTTTGCTCCCCATATTTACAGAAGCCTTCAAGCGTTAAACTTAGACCTTCATGCGCAAAACCTAAACCGTAATATAACACTTGCATAAACTCCCGAAGGCATAAACTTTAGCTACAAAAACACCTACATCAACCTCAAACTGCTGTTATGAAATTTAAGTTAAGTGATCACAATAGGGAAGGCTTATTATTTACTATTTGACTATCTTATGGTGACCTTAAGCCCTAAACCCCTAAACCCTAAACCCTAAACAGCAACAGCAACCCAGACTGCTGGGATTCAGGTGAGGCACGCTCTTCGCTGTGAGGATGGTGAGGCTGCAGGGTTCAGGGTTTAGGGTTTAGGGTTCAGGGTTTAGGGTTCAGGATTAGGTTTAGGGTTTAGGGTTTAGGGGTAGGGGAACATCATCCCCCCTCATAGTCCCTCTACAAGTACTTTGGGGGTTTCCTACATAATAGTGGGTACCCTTTTGGGGACCTCCATAATAAGGCCTGTAGCATTTTCATGTCTATATTGGGGTCCCCCTATTTTTGGGAAACTACCATATGAGCATTGATGAACTCTGTACTCCCATAGTGAGTCTAGCTGGGCAGGTTTCTTGAGTACCCTTGTGCCAAACCCTAAACCCTAAACCCAGTGGAAGCGAGCTTGAGAGGCATTCGTGGTAAAGACCCGAAACAAAAGCGGTGCTCGAGCTCAGATAGCCCGCTCATGCTGAGTTGGAAATGCGGGGGACGTATCCCAACAATCAATGGTACCTATATAATTTCCATGACAGATTATTATCATCACCAAAAACCGCCCCCGCTTGTTCCAAACAAGCATGAGCAGGAGAAGCAGCAGATGCAGGCGCATAGCATAATGAGAAGTGCCTAATTTGGGGACGCCCCGGAATTCTCCCTACAACTTGTGCGTATATGCATGTGTATATATATATAGGTGCATATATATATATTTATACATATACACATGTTAATCTCCTCTACAATGTCTATGTTCATCCATATGTACATTTACATGTATGTGCACAGGTCTTCCCCCATAAGGGGTCTAGAGGGGGGCCTGCACGGTATTTTTCACAAAGCTCCACAAACAAGAGGCTCGGCCAAACCTGCTTTTGCCAATGCTGAAGATGAGCAAGCCTGGAAGAGGAGTGGGGGTCTGAGTCTTCAGTCAGAAAAAAACCTTAAAACCCTAAACCCTCAACGTTCAAGGTGTTTTGTTTTGTTTTCTTCGGGCCCGTCAGGGCTTTGTTTTTTTGTTGGGTTTATAGGTATCGCGACCCGAGCGAACTACCATTCTCCGCCCTTTGCAATTCCATTTGGGGATTCCCAAAATTAGGGATACCATTTTGGGGGTCCCAGCTTTAAAGAATATAGTATTTTGCGGTCTGTATTGGGGTCCCCCTATTTTGGGAAACTACCATTTAGACCCTGAACCCCAAAAAGCAGCCCTCCTTCAGGGCCGGCCATGTTGAGAAACCTCCACATCCACCTCCACGGACCTTCTGGGTTGCTGTAAAGAAAATTTCCGTTACTATAACGGGGACACCTTATTCTTGAGTGTGTGTGTGTGTATATATGTATATATGAATACATACTCAGAATATGGTAACCTCAACCCCTAAACCCTAAACCCTTATTGGGGAAACCGTTTTAATTACTATATATCTATATATCCATAGTATGTTAACATATATTAAACTCCTCAACAGCATCCCGGCCTTCTCAGGTATGGAGTCAGTGCTGAATCTGCCACGTAGCCGCTCAGTTGCACCAAAGCATTTCATTTCGAGGAAATTAAAAGTGAGCACCCGCAACAGAAGGTTTGCACAAGGTTTATATATGGGAGGGAACCCTAAACCCCAAACCCTAGGAAAGTATGCAGTCAAAAGTTCCTCAGATGGTTCGCTTGGTCGGGTCTGGGCAAGGAGGATCTCAGTGCTTGCGGGCGCGTTGGGGGGGGGAGAAACCCTAAACCCTAAACCCTAAACCCGAATCCAAGACGCAGGCCCATATCTGGCTCATGTGCCGGATGTCTTCGAGGCCCTCTGCACTCACATATTCTGGGTTGCTGTTAAGGGACTTAAATTAAGTTACTCTACTGGGGAAACCCTATTATTTAATATATATATATACCCATTATGGTAACTTAATTTAAGTTCCTTAACAGCAACCCAGTATTTGGCAGGCAGCTGGCATGATGACTAGATTTCGGCTTTAGAGTTTATGATTCGTTGACTGCTTACTACAGTCCTGCTTGCTGGAGGACATGGGCGCCCCTTACACATGTGGATATCTTGACGCGCCTGAGGGGTAATGGTGACTAGAAAGGTAGCCTCAGGGACCCTACTAGGGGTGCTGTAGAGGGGCTTGGAGGCAGTCCCATATCTTGCCTTCACAGTGTTCAAGAAAACCCCCCCTATCCTCTGGCTGATCACGTAGACCAGATGAGAGAAAAACAGAAGTGCACCCCCCGACCACAAGTGGTAAATAGTAGGCATATAGTAGGACGCAAATACGCAATTACCATTGTCTTCACTGGTCACCATGAGTGGCTGCGGATCCTGACTTGGGGGTTAGGGGGACTTAGTAAGTGGTCAATAACCCCAATAAGCCATATAAAAGCCCCAATTATCCCATCTTTAACCTACTTAATAAGTCCCCATGACCCTGAAACCTAAATGCTGCAGCAGTTTCCATTTTCTTTTCCATTATTACCAGTCTGAACTGACTTACTAAGTCCCCCTGACCCCTCAAGCATGTCCACCTATTTTGCAAGGACTCCCAGTGCTACTTTGCGAGGCGCCCAGCGCATCTGCCATGCAAAGGGATGCCCTGGCAGCAAGTTGAGGCGGGGTACTACGACCACCCCTACACAGAATTGGTACCATAACCGTAAATCCCATAGCAGACCCCACATCCTAAACCTGGCAGTAAAACCTAACGCCCCACAAACCCTACATCAACCCTTACTCCTGAGCCCTCGCAACACTTAATGAATTAGAATATACTGTATTCTGTTCAAATATACTGGAATGAACAATAACCTACTATAACAAACTATAACCCTAGAAGCCCAGTTACCTATATATTGGGTTCCTATCCTTAAGTCCCTATATAAAATTATATACTATCTATAACCCCAGGACCTACTACATGGGTACCTGGGCTTCTAAACCCTAAACACTAAACCCTAAACCCTAAAACCCTAAACCCTAAACCCTAAAACCCTAAACCCTAAACCCTAAAACCCTAAACCCTAAACCCTAACCTTCTTCAACCCGAGGTTGCCATGGAGTTAGTGGAAGGCATGGATCTCGGAAGAGCCTTAAGGCGCCTGTAGGGGTGGGATTCAGCGGTGGTTTAGGGTTTAGGGTTTAGGATTTAGGGTTTAGGGTGGTGTTTTTAAGGAGTGATGGGTCCCTAGGGTAGTCCCCTATCTTTGTCCTTATCGGCCAAAGGCCTTTCCCCCATTCCTAACAAACCATGAACCCTATCAAGTAGATAGAACATGGGGGGTACATGGGGATCTTACTATAATGTACCCAAAGCCATATTTTATCCACTTAGGGGGACTATGTACCCTCGACCACCATGTTGCCAACAGGAGGCGATCCTTCGACACTTGGGAGCCCGTGCTGCCATGTGTTTGCAATGCTTGTTTCGGGTGGCAGTTTTCAATGATGAGAGCCAAGTCCACCTCAGACATGGGGTTGCAGTAGTCTCCATTTTGTTTTCCATTATCCCTATATAACTCTATGTTATTGTATATAGTAGCTTCTATTCTTCCATGATCCCAATATTACCCTATATTCTCCCAAACTCGACACCTCCTGGCACCGCGTTTTTGGAAACTCCCGGATTGTTTTCATAGACTCCAGCGCAAATTCTTTGCCCTCTCTCCGAAGCCATCATGGCTCCAAGGAAAGGTAGGCTAGAAGGCTGTATGGCATGTGACTGCAGGTCCAGCTCACCCTTTTCCGACCCTCAAAGCAGGCTACGTGCTTGACGGCATAGATATGAAGGCTGAAAGGTATGCCTTGGGTCTGGTAGTGATTGGTGGCAGCAAGCTGACTCTCCTCCTGCAGCATGGGAACCGCGCAGTGCAAGATTTGCTGTGAGGAGCTTGGGGCACTTGTGGGGGGGGGTCCCAACAATCCTTCCAGAATCATATGAGCTATAGTC